TGTTGACGAAATTCAGACCTTCAAGACACAAAAGGGAAGCCTTCTTATGATCCTGGTTTCAACCAGAATCGGGTTGAGAGAAGAGCCAAACAGCTTGTCCCCAGCGTATGGAGAGGCGGCCAGACACCATTTGTTTCTGGTGTCGGCTTGCCAGTGACGGAGCCAAAGAAGCCTCCGAGATGTGACTGATGAACCAATAGCCTTGGCTGCAAATCTGGAAGTATTGAGAGTGGCGTCACCCAAAAATTCCAAGCTGCTAAGATCTTATTAATATCTTGATGAGAACACGAATTGGAAGCCGGAAGGCGTTCCTGCAGTTGCTTCAACCACAATATGGAGGCCCTGCTGAAAAAAGAGGCCGCCGAAGTGGCTCTTACTGCCCAGGCTGAGGCTTGATGGCCTTTGATCAGGGTCCGCTTGGCTCTCTTGTCCTAAGGCCGCAATGATTTGTCAGGAGGGCCGGCCAGATGAGTAGTGGAAGATAGGGCCACCACTGGGGCGTCTCCAGTTGGTACCTGGAGTAAGTCAGAAAAATCTGCTGCCAGAGAATAGAACTTTTTGTCCTGAGAATTGGGCAAAGGCCCAGAACCAGGGGAGGCCCATTGCCTCTTCACCACATTGGAAAAAAATTTGGGCACCGGTAAGGTATCAACTCGAACTGGCTGTTCTGAGAAAAGGGAAGTAGAAGGATCATCATTAGTAGAAGCAGACCCCTGTCCAGAGGAAGCAGGTAGCATTTTGGTAGCTGAGAGAGCCTTGAATAGCAAGGAACGAAATAAATGTGGCTTGAAAAGGCCAATAAAGGCAGGTTGGTCTGGCTCAAGACCGTCATCATCAGACCATTCCTGGTCTAGAGCCAGATCCTCAGCAGACACAGAAACTTGACTCGCAGAAGTCGGAGAAGCAGGTCTATCGATATGAGTTGCAGCATCCTCCCTGTGCGGTGAGTGGCTGGCCTGACTGCCATAATCAGACACTTCAGATCTGGCTGATTGGTGAAGACCCTCAGCTATCCCCTGACGAATGGCCTCCGAAATGAGGGAAGCCAGGGCAGGAGGAATTATTGAAGGCAAAGGCTCAGTCGATGGAGGAGGAGGTCGTGGAGGTGGAGGAGGAGGAGGTGCAGTTGAAGCAGTGGCACTATGGGCGGCCTCAGGCGAGCCAGAAGCTGGGGGCTGGCCTTCAGGAGGCAGCGTGGCAAACAAAATGGCCACCTCAGCAGAAGAAGGGGAAGCACCCCTGACGAAACGATCAGGAGACAGTGAAGCCCTATGGGTGGCCTGGGGAAGATCCTGGTGGTCTGAGGCCAGCAATTCGGGCTCCTGAGGGGAGGATGGAATGGCAGGAGCAGGAGCTTTAGAATGTTTAGAGGCTTGCAACTGTGCCTTTTGAACAGCTTGCTCCAGGGCTTTGTGACGGCGCTGCTCGTCCCTCAGGGTTTGTGCAGATTTAGCAGGTGGTGCAGGAGCTGCTTTAGCCTTTTTGGATGAGCGCTGATGCCCCGAGGTCCCCTCCCCCAGATCACTATTGTGGCGCTTCCTACTCCTGTGAGAGACAGCCACGTGGCTAGACCTGGAGGAACGGGTGTCCGCCATTTTGAAAGAAACAAACCTCGGCACCACAAGCAATTTCTAGCCGGAATCGGGGGCCCAATCCTACTCACTGCGCCTCCAGGGAATGTTGAGATAGGCAACGTAGCAGGCGCGAATGCAGTGGCGACAATAGAGATCGCTAGCCCAACGGCGACAAGTGCGATCGAAACGGCGTGGCTAACAGCAATCCTCGTCACGCCAAAAAAGTTACACATAAACAAAGCTGCTAAGCAAAGGCTTGATCGCAGCCTGAATGCCCGTCAGAGCTGCCAATAATCAGAGATCGGGCCCGGTGCAGGACAGAGCTACGGAGTGAACTCGTGGGCTCTGCCTGAGAGATTGCTGGTTGGCAGTCTCGAGCCGCCGCACGGCCTTCAGCGGAACCAGAACAAAGTCCTTCACGCTGGAAAAGATCTGGTTTGAGATCCAAAAATTTTAAATGGCAAAGGCCAGAGATAAAGACTGTAACAGAGAGAGACACGACTGTCCAAGCTGACTGAGTCGAACTTGAGAGCAGAAGGAAGGGCGGGGCTTAACAACATTGCAGACTCGGTCCTGATTGGCCAACTGACGGAGTCTACCCGGCACTGACTGCCGTTTCCAATCAAGGAGGAGAACTACTTTTGTAAGAATATTGGTATCATAATATCTAGTGCTCTTGCAGTTACATATTGTACAAGGAAGAAAGGGAACACATACTTAGAAAGGTTTCTCTGAAAAGAGATCTATATATATATTTTAGATGGTTGTTCTGAGCTGGTGGTTTCGTGGGTTTCAGATGTGCCTAATAAAGTGAGAGAATCAACTGGCAGGTATACTTGCTACCGAAGGGAAGGTTCACATGCCAAGACTGTAAAGTATAATTCTGTCATATAAATGTTAAAATATTGCTTGAACTTGAAAGACCTATCTTCTAGTAGTCTAAATCACTTTCTGATTAATTAATCCTAGTTCTCAGTTGATATAGGATGCTTTGGAAACTTGTTATAAGATACAATGCTGTCTAGCAGACTATATAGTAGTAAGGTAAGAGAAGATATTGGAAACTCAGTATTCTGTCTGCAAATATTTATTTCAAGTTTCTTGCAGTTTGAATTGTTCTTGTCATAGGTGACTTGGCTAGTTTTATTCCTTCTTTGCATTCGTATGTCTATACTTGAGCCTTAAAAATGCAAATATGATGAAAAATCTTTTGGAGAACTATTCCAGTGTATATTAGTGGAAAATATTGTCAATTCAGGAGATGCCTGGATGGTGGAAATCATTAGATATTAGACAGCAACTAATACATATGACAATATTGCGTTCAAAACTGAAGATGATATATTACCATCAGGCTTAATAGCCATTAGTAGTTTTATTCTCCATGAATTTGCCCAGCCTAATTTACACATTCGTGGTATTTTACCAATTTAAGGAAGTATATTCTGCAGTTAAACACAAAGCTTCCTTTTGGCTGTTGACAATGTGCTACATTCAGTTTCTTTCAGAAGTTTAGAGCATAGAAAAAAGCAGAACTCTTAATTCTATACTTTTTCTTTTATTAAATTATGAGAATTGTAGTTCAGCATACGTGGAGGACATCAGGTTAAAGAAAAGTAACATGGTATATTTCTCTACCTTCCTTTCTTTTTTTGAAAGTATGGAAAAGAAACGTTGTTAAAAGTCTTCATGAATCCTTAAATCTATTGGTTAAGTATATATTCCAATATTATAGAAGACATTGCATCAATTCCATGTGCATAAAATGAGTAATACAAGAAGTGACCTGAACAGTGTGTAACTTAGATTTCTGTAAACATGTTTATTTCACATAATTTGTATGCCATTCAATTCATTACATTTTGTGCAGCCTTCAGCAGTAAGTCATAATTTCCTGACAATATAGGTAATAATTCTTATTACCTTTCCTTGAAGGCCCAAAGTATGATATTCTCCTGCTTTTGGAATCCAATGAAGGAAGGAGCTGTTCTAATTTTGGGGAGACAGTGACAAAGAATTCCAAAAGAAATTTGTTCTGTGCTGCCCTCACCTAAAATCTTGATGGGGAGAGTTAGTGTCATTAATCGCCAGCACCCTCACCTCAACAGAATCCACAGACCAGAGAAATTCTACTTCAGGAACAGTTCTGAAGACCCCAAGCCATAAAGGACTTCATAAGCAATTACCAGCATGTAGAATACAATACTTCTACAATACACTGTAGAAGTGTAGTGATATCTAGTGTGGCTCCTGCAAGATGGAGAACGTTTTGTTAATCTGACATTGGCCCCATCAACAGCTGGGCTGCTGCAGTTTGAATCAGTTGCAATTTCTGAGTAGATTTCATAGGAACTAATTCATTAATTGTAATATAATGAGAGTATGAGTGATAGCAGAATGTCCTGTTTCAGAAACTATTGCTTGACCAAGGATCTCCTGGCATGGCCTCCACTAGCTCTGCAGTTAGAGTCGTGAGTCCAGGAAAAAATCTGTTCAGATCTTGTAGCACAGAAGCCCCCAACCTTTTGGGTACCAGGGACCGGTTCCATGGAGAAAGTTTTTTTCCATAGACCAGAGGGGGCGTGGTTTTATGAGCTGCCTGTATCCCATGGAGGGGGCTTCACTTGTTTCTGTGGCATGCTGAGGTCCGGTGCCGGTCCATGGACCTGGGGTTGGGGACCCCTGTTCTAACAGTCCCTTCCAAGAGATTGTAACTGCATTTCTGTCATGGCCTAAAGATGGAATTATCTTGAATTCAGATGATTTCTGGATAAACAAAGTCTACATCTTGTTGAGACTTAATTTGGTTTCATATATAGGGTTGTAGTGTAAAAGAGATTTTTGAATGATAATTAGACAAATAATACTTGTTGAAGCTTTTTAGTGAACATCATGTAGACCAGGCCTGTCAAACTGGCGGCCCGCATGCATGCCACGGCCACCCTGGCTCCGCAAAGGCAAAAAAAAAAATCCTGATACGGATTTTTCATGATCCACGGCCCACAATGCAATCAGGTTTGACACTCCTGATCTAGGTAATATATGTACTGAAAAATAGTCTATGTTGTGAGTAACTGTTGATGCTACATAATGAATCCAGAGCTGCCAATAGATACTAGAATTTTAAAAAGGAATTCCTAAATGAGAGATAAGCAGCCTAGATTATTTTGGACTACAGTTCATATAATTTTTAATAATTGGCTATATGGGATGGGCTTGTAGTCAGATTATCCGGATGAATCAAATTATCGTCCCCTGAAGATTCAGATCTGGTCCGGAGTTACTAGATAGGCACAGCCTTGTAAGAATCACCTTAAATTTAGGGTGACTCTAGTATGATTCTTCAAAATAATACCAATACTGCTGTCTGAGAATCCAAGCATTTGTTTCATATTGTTCAAATTATCAAATGTCTTTTGTTTATAGAGGATGACTTTGATTGTCATAAACCTGGTGCAGAAAGGTCTTGGAGAAGGAGAACTGCAGATGATGATTGGGATAGGTAAGCCTTTTTTTTCCTTTTATGCAGAGATGTTTTCTACTATATGTGATTTGTTTCTCTCTTTCACTGTTAATTTATAGGATCTAGAAAACATTCAAATACAGACATCAATGTGTTTGTTTATCTGCCATGTGCATAACTGTCACTCAGTTGTAGAGATATGTATGCCTGCTATGAAGAGCAGGCAGTGGGCAGGGCCCACTTTCTTTAATCAGAGTTGCATTTTGCTATGGAATACATGGGGACAGGGATGAAATGCTCCCGGCTCAGACCAGCTCGGCCGATCCGGTAGAGATGATGGCCGGTAGTTCGGAGAACTGGTAGAATGGCAGCTGGAGGCTCTGCCCACCCACCCATAAGTTAAAACCAGGAAGTAAACCTGGTTTTTTGAGGCTCGGCACATGCTCTGGGGCCAAGAGAGGCAATGGTGGCGGCACTGCATGTGCAGTCTCGGGACATCCGCCCTCTCTCCTGGAGTGTTGCTGCCGCCCCAGAGCTTGCCTTCACCTCTGCAGCCCACTGGCCTCTCTTCCCCTTTTCTTTCTGGGTGCAGCGCTTCTGCTCGTTGGGCCACTTTCCCGCAGTGCTTCTGCTGGTGTTACCACGCAAGCCTCCCATGAGGAAAAAAGCAAAGCAGCTGGCTGCGGAGCTGCCAGCTTCAGGAAGTGGGCCAACAGGCAGAAGCAACATGCCCAGAAAGAGACTCCGGCCTTGCCCCGGAGCCGCTGCCCACTTGCCGCCTGCTCGCCCTTCGCCTTGGGTCGGGGGCCAGGGCCCAGGGACGCACCATTCACCGAAGCCCTGGAGCCCCCGCTTGGTTGCCACCTCCCTCAACCGGGTTGGGGAATGCACCATTCCCTGACTCCTGCCTTGCCTCGGAGCTGTTGCCCGCTCGCTATCCGCTCACCCTTCGCCTTGGGTCGGGGACCAGGGCCCAGGGATGCGCCATTCCCCAAGGCCCCGGAGCCTCCACCTGGGCGAGCAGGCAGCGGCTCCGGGGCGAGGCCGGAGTTGGGGAATGGTGCATTCCCCGACCTGGTCAAAGTAGGCAGCGGCTCCAGGGCCCCGGGGAATGGTGCATCCCTGAGCCCCGGCCCCCGACCCAAAGCGAAGGGAGAGCGGGTGGTGAGTGGACGGCAGAATAGAAATTAAAAAAGTTTTCCTACTGGGTTCTGTGGGCATGGCTTGGTGGCGTGTGTGTGTCTTGTGACTGAGTGGGCGTGGCTATGAGTGACATCGAGTTGGCCACGCCCACTCAGTCACAGGACACCCCCCCCCCCAAGCCATACCCACAGAACCGGTAGGGAAAAATTTTACATTTCACCCCTGCATGGGGGGAATTCATGGACCTAACAAAAATGAGCAATTTATTACATTTTTTCCTATCTATCTAAATATGTGCCTGTTTGTACCTTGTTAGTTACTTGTACTTGTACTCCTTTATATAACGTGTGATCACTAGCACCAATGAATAATATACATATTTAAGTGAGCTCATTTGTTGGAATCAGTCTATGGACTAAATGAAGGAGTTCAGCAGATCTTAACTATATGATGATGTTAACTCCCCCCCACTCCTCAGTTAAAGAGCCTGAAGACATGAACAAGTCTAGTATTTACAGGTAGTCCTTCATTTATAAACTATTCATTTACTGACCGTTCCATTACAGCAGCAATGAAAAAAGAGATGATTGGCCCTCACACCACCGTTGCAGCATCCCCATGGCCATGTGATCAAACGGCATGTATTTCCAGTGGTTGCCGCACTGGTTCATGTGATCATCATTTGTGACTTTCTCAGTCGACTTCTGACAAAGATAATAGAGGAAGCTGGATTTGTTTAATGATTGTTTGATTTGCTTAACAATCATTGTGAAAAGATTGTAAAATTGGACATGACTCACTTAACAGCCATCTTGCTTAGCAACATAAGGTCTGTTCCAATTAGGGCCGTAACTTGAGTTATTTAGTTATTAAATTTCTATGCTGCCCATCTCACTATCAAGCGATTCTAAGGGGCTTACAATTTTATAAATCACAGTATAAAACAATTAGAAAGTTAAAACATTAAAGTTAACAACGAACAGGATAAAAAGACCAATGTATAAACTGGGAGCAGTTGGTCTACTAGCCACCTCCAGAATGAGATATGCCTATCAGGGGCCCAAACCAGTTGGCAGAGGTTTTCAGGCCCTTTTGGAAAATCAAGAAGTAGGGGGCAGATTTCACCTTGTGGGGCATGATATTCCAGAGGCGGGAGCTGCAGCAGAAAAGGCTGTTTTATTAGTGAACATTTCATAGTATATTAAAATCTGTATTTAATGGACCTTAATTTAGTGTTGACACCATCAAAGCTGACACCAATCAGAGCATAGAAAAACTTTTAAAAAGTAGTGCAAAATCAGAAGAAGTAGTGAGACCTGGCTTATAGAATTGCCAAGAGTTGGACATGACTGAATGGTCATCTTCAATTTAATGGATAAATTGAATGCAGTAGACAACATTTGAAGTTTTGATGGAAGTTGATTTAACAGGTTTTGCTGATGTTCTGGGAAGGTTTGGGAAAGATTGCTCTTTTGCTCGGGATGGGTAAGCCAGTGGCCTATGTGACAGAATGGAGAAGATCAGGGGCTCAATGAGGAAGGGGCTGATTGCATACTTTGAATCTATTTCTTGTAGTTGTTGGGCTTTTACTGTAAGACTGGGCCAGGCTGATGAAGGCAGATTAGTATCTAAGGCTATGGGTGATTGTAGGGAAGCAGCACTGTGGGAACATATTATTCCCCCTGCAGCAAGTGGTGGAATTGGAAAAAAGGATATTAAAATAAAGGGACACTTTTATGTGTACACAAAAGAGCACTTTTCAGATTTAACAGGCCTTTGTATTTGTTAAACACCTCTTCCACCATTAAAATCAAGATTTTACTATACTACGTTCAGCAACACTTGCTTTTGCAATTGGTTTTCAGCTGACTTCTATATATACCTACTGGGATCAAATAATTCTATTGAGAAATTCCATTATTTAAACTTCGTTAGGAATTCATCTCTTAACTTTGTTACATTCTTCCTTACGTTCAAATCTGCATTTGTCATCACTATTCAGGTAGTGATAGGAGGGATGAATAATACTCTTTTCTGCACATTTTTTTTAAAAAAAATGAGCTACTGTATTTTTTGTACTATAAGAAGCTCCGGACTACAAGATGCACCTAGCTTTTGGGGAGGAAAACAAGAAAAAAAAATCTGCCTCTGCCTTCCAGCAATTTGTCTCCTTACAGCAAACAGCCTAGTCAGCTTCAACACATCCTGATTTAGCATGAGCAGCTGACTGGCGGTTGGATCAGCCTCCCGGAATACTCCCAGAATACTACTGATCAGCTGTTCCAGGCAGCGGGGATCACCGCTGGCACCTATCGCCGTCTCTGCGCGCCCCATTTTCGGCCTCTGTGCATCCCGATTTCAGCCTGCGTGCACCCCATTTTCGGGCTCCATGTGTCTCATTTTCAGCCCTTTCCAGGGGGCAGGGATAGGCGGTGGCAATCCCTGCTCCTGGAATGGGTCACAAGCGGGACACATGGAGGCCAAAAATGGGGTGCGTGGAGGCGGTGATGGGCGGCAACAGCAACGATGGGTGGCGGCGATCCCCGCAGCCTGGAACAGCAGCTCATTTAAACATGGTACTGAGGTGGAAGAGTCAATGCTTTTCTCTGCTTGAATCTTTACTATATAAAAAAAGCTCACAAAGTTTAAAGTACCGTGTTTTTTGGTCTATAAGATGCACTTTCTCCTCCCCCCCCAAAAAAAGGTGGGTGGAAATGTCTGTGCGTCTTATAGAGAGAACATTGCTGAAGCCCCGCCCACCCACTGGCCCCTACCGTTCAGCCTCTGCCTCCCAGCAATTTGCGGTATTCTGGGCGGCAGTTCCAACTGCCAATCAGCTGCTGGTGCTAAATCAGGCTGTGTTGAAGCTGACCAGACTCTTTGCTGTTTGCTGCAAGGAGGCAAATTGCTGGGAGGCAGAGGCTGAAGGGTGGGGGCTGGTGGGTGGGCGGGTGCTGGTGGGTGGGCGGGTGCTTCGGCAACATTCTCTCTATAAGACGCACAGATATTTCCACTCACTTTTTATAAGAAAGTTCTTATAGACCAAAAAACACGGTACTTTTTCTGCCCCAGCTACGAACCCCAAAGAACGCAGCACACACAAAGTCCATACAAACCTTAGTTTACTAATTAAAGATTACTAATGAGCTTTCTTAGTAGTTGTTCGAACACAAGTACAGTTTAAATCAGTCTTTTCTGAACAAGGGCTGTTACTTTAACTTCATTAACAGTTGACAAGAATCCAAAGAATAATAACTCAATTCTGAGGTACAGTATTTCAGATAATCGTAATCTTACTGTGGTGGGCAGAATGCCCAGAAGCAATTTGCAGGAAAACTGACAAGAGAGAAATGAGCTGAATCAAACGTTTCTGGAATCAAGATATGAAGGAATATGAATGAAGTTGTTTCCTGCAAATTGCATCAGTCGTCATCCTTCCTTAAATAGACTAGGGGAGTGGCCAATTAGCCCCAAGCCTTACCTCGAGAGTAAGGCTGAGGAGCCACTCCTGCCTTTTAACAGCTCTGTGCGCTTGTGCATTGAGAAGAGGCTCCTCCTCTTCCTCTTCACTTATGGGAGCTTCTGGAGGTTCTGAAGGCCCTGGCTGAATCTCCGCCTCTGGCATCACATCTTCTCCAGCCTCCTCATTATCTGACTCTAGCCCCAGCTGCACAGGCTGCTGGCCCAGCACCACACCAGCCTCCTCGCTGTCGGAATCAGCTACCAACTGCACAGGCCGCTGACGGGCTACGATAGTACTTTAAACTTTGTGAGCTTTTTCTATATAGTAAAGATTCAAGCAGAGAAAAGCATTGACTCTTCCACCTCAGTGCCATGTTTAAATGATATTACCCTACATTTTAGAATTATTTATTTATTTATTTATTAAATTTATA